CTCCTCGGCCTTGACCAAGAGGGAGAAGGAACGGCGAGGGGAGGGGGCTCCTGGGGGCTCCTCGTCGGCAGGGCGGATGGTGGAGCCCAGGTAGTGCGGGAGGATCTTGAGGAAGAGCTGTGGGGGGTGGGGAAGAGCAGGAAAAGGGGGTCTCAAGCGTGGCCCCGGCCCTCTGCCCTCCAAGCGGACGGCCCCTCATGCCAGCGGGCTGGCCCCTCCGCCTGAAGGAAGAGGTGGCTGGAACCGGAGGGGAAAACTCCTTAGTGCGTTCGTGGACCGCCCCGGTTGCGGTGAACAGCTGCGGGGAGAACTGGGTCTGCAGAGGGTGCAGACCCAAAAGGCTTGTAGGAGGGGGGGGGGGTCAGGTGGCCGAAAGGGGCTGCATCGGCAGGTGAATTGTTTGAGGGCCAAAGGGAGGGGGATCCCGGCAGGTGGGGACAATGGAGAGGGGAGCGGTTGCCTCAAAACGAAGTGATTTGAATTTGCCCGCCTGGGTTGAATTATCTTCCCTCCCTCCTTCTTCCTCTTTGCCACGTTCCTTCCTTCCTGCCCTCGGGGGAGTGTCCTGTCCTGACAGTTTAGAGAGTTCATGGGATTTGGGATAGTTAGTGAAGAATTGGGAGCTGTCCCCTTTAAGGGAATGCATCCTGGGAAATGTAGTTAAGAATTGGGAGCTGGGAAATGTAGTCCACGTCACGTCACATCTGAAAATCCGGAATTGGCCACTGAATTGACTCTTGGTGGGGTTGGGGGAGGCTCCCTCGCTCTAGCCCGAATCCTTTACCATGCGGTCGCTTCAATCATCATCATGGGGGATGAGAGTTTATTCTCTTTCCGCGCCACCATTCAGATCCGCAAAGCTTTGGACGTTAAGAAGAACCTCCTCATCAATGTGAGTTGGTGAGGATGCCCGATGAACCAATTCAAAGAGATTTTGCTTGGATGCTTTGTGGAGTTACTCGGTCTGCTTTAAGCAGAACAGGAGAAAAAATAAAAGTCTCATCCCCATGATTGAAGCCTGTGATTTTTTTTTGGGGGGGGGGGGGAATGGTCCCGGGGGGCGGGGGAGGCCCCCCCCCCCCTTCTTCAGCCCTGGATTTTGGGATGAGCCGGTGGAGAGGCCAGAGATCCCCAGAGCGGGGGGGGTGGAAGCCCGCCAGTCTCAAAGGCTGGACAGCGTCGATGGGCCGTCACACCTGTGGCTTCAGCCAAACCAGCCTGGCCTCCCTTTCTCCCACCCCCCGGCCCCACTCCACCACCATTCGGATCTGCAAAGCCTTGGACGTTAAGAAGAACCTCCTCCTAAATGTGAGTTGTTAAGGATGCCTCCTCACATGCTTGAGACTGGGGGAGAGGCGGTGGGTGCTGGGGCTGCGCAGGGAGACGTTGAGCACCACGACGCAGTTGGTGACGATCAAGGTGGCCACCGTCATGACGAAGAGCAGGTACCTGGGCAGCGGGAGGCAGAAAGAGAGAGAGGCAGAGGGTGGGCCCCGGGGCCCGCTTCCTGGGCCCTCCAACCTCCGCCCCGCAGGCTGGCAGCCACTCACTTGCCGATGAGCGGGACGGCGAGGGACGTAGCGGGCACCTTCTGGGCAATCAGGAAGAGGAAGACGGTCTGGGCCAGGAGGACCGAGATGCTGACCGTACACTTCTGGCCACCGGCTGCCGGGGCAGGTGGGGGGGAGAGCGGTGAGGATGCCCCCGACCCAGAAGCCCCCCTCCTCCCCTCCTCTCTTTCCAGTCACACACACACACCCGCTCACCCTGGGCAGGCAGGAAGTAGACCAGGACGACCAAGGAGGAAATGAGCACGCAGGGCACGATGATGTTGATGACGTAGAAGAGGGGCTTACGCTGGATGATGAGGAAGTAGTGGATCTCGGAGAAGCCCGGCGCCTCCAGCCCATCCGTGGCGGCCAGGACAATGCGGGCCGGGGGCCGTTGGATGGCCCACTCCCCGTTCTCTGAAAACAGGGACACAAACACACACGCAGGGCCCGGGCATTGCAGCTGGCGGCTTAGCCCCCAGGCCCTGCGGCTTCCCACCTCAGCGCCGACGCCCCCCCTCCCGCTACCTGTGAAGGCCTCCTTGTCGATGATGATGTAGTCTGCCAGCTTTTTGGTGTTGTCGTCGATGCCGTAGTAGAGTTCCATCTCCCGGATGTTGTGGGTTTGGGACCTGGAGGGGCAGAAGACCAGGAGGCTCGGGGGGGGAGGGGGAAGGCCAGGCCTCCCTCTCCCCCTCCCCCATCTCTTTCAGCATCCCCCCACACACACCAGCCACAGCAAGGAGGCCCAGGATGCTGCCCTCCCACCCACCCCTCCACTCCCCCGACCCACCGGAAGACGAGGGAGCAGTTCTGCCAGTCGAAAGGGAAAAAGGTGACCTCCATGGGGCAGAAGCTGCGGAAGATGGCTGGCGGCAGCCAGGTCACGGAGCCCCCGGGGCCGATGAGGACGTTGCAAGAATAGGCCTCCTTGAAGTTGCCGTCGATGCTGAGAAGGGGAGAAAGTGGGGGGGGGGCATATGAGGGTTACGTGAGGCCTAGGGTGAGGGTTAGCCCCCTTCCAGCCGCCCCACGATCACCGCACTCAACTTGTTCTCCAGGACGATGTCCGGCAGCCACACCTGCTCCGCGGGGACCCGCAAATAATTGTTGTACTCCATGTCGCTGAAGTTCAACCGATAGTCCACCCATTCCTGAGGCCGGGAGGGGAAAGAGGTGGAGGTGACACCACCACCACCCCAACTCTCTGGGCAGGGCAGGGCGGAGGCCCCCCCTGCCCCCCCCGCCAAGTGCGGGCCCTGCTGGGAGTTGAAACCCTCCCCCCCCCTGCGCCACAGGGAGTGCCGAGCGGTGGTCGGCCAGTGGCGGTCCACGATGGGGCAGATGAGAGATTTATTGATGTATTTGTATTTATTTCTTTGGTCAAGTGATTCTCAGAGAACAGGGAGAAGGAGAAACGGAGTTAGGAAGACATGAAATGGATGCGAAGAAGACAAATAAAAGGATTCCTTTCCCCCCACCCCCATCCCCCGGGGGGTCCTTGCCTGAGTGATCCAGACGTTGGTGGTCAGCGTCTCCTCTTTGGCATTCTGGAGGGAAGGGAAGGAAGGAAGGAAGGAAGGAAGGAAAAAAGCAGGAAAGGAAGGAAGGGAGGGAGGGAGGGAAAAAGCAGGAAAGAGGAAGGAAGGAAAAAGCAGGAAAGAGGGAGGAAGGAAGGAAGGAAGGAAGGAAGGAAGGAAGGAAGGAAGGAAGGAAGGAAGGAAAACAGGAAAGGAAGGAAGGAAAGGAAGGAAGGAAAGAAGGAAAAAAGCAGGAAAGGAAAGAAGGAAAGGAAGGGAAAAAGGAAAGAGGAAGGAAGGAAGGAAGGAAAAAAAGCAGGAAAGAGGAAGGGAAGGAAGGAAGGAAGAAAGGAAGGAAAGAGGGAGGAAGGAAGGGAAAAAGCAGGAAAGAGGAAGGGAGGAAGGAAAAAGCAGGAAAGAGGAAGGAAGGAAGGAAGGAAGGAAGGAAAGAGGAAGGAAGGAATGAACGAACAAACGAAGGAAGGAAGGAAGAAAAAAGCAGGAAAGAGGAAGGAGGAAGGAAAAAGCAGGAAAGGAAGGAAAACAGGAAAGAGGAAGGAAGGAAGGAAAAAAGCAGGAAAGGAAGGAAGGAAGGAAGGAAGGAAGGAAGGAAGGAAGGAAGGA